TTCTCTATCGGAAGCATCATTAACTTATAGTTTTCGTTTGAATGAAAATTCATTTGTATTCATTTATATAAAACCAATAAAAGCAACAACAAGAGTTCCTGATTTAAACATTGATTGAGGATAACAAAAAAATATCGAATTTTCAACCGTTTTTCTACGATCATTTTCCAAGAGGTAAGTGTAGGGTATTTTACTTATATTTTTCTTTGAAATTTTCACTGTATTTGAAGGTGTTTATTATTTTTCTGCACACCCAGTGTTGAAAAGGCATTTGCAGAGTTGTTGTAGGTGCGGGTACTTTTCTTGTACGCGTCGTCCTTTCTTGTATTCTGGTGCGACACTTGAGATGTTTTATGGATCAAGTGCGGACACTCACTAGTGCTTGCACTTCCGTGGTGCCAATAACAGCTCTTCATCTCATATTAGAACCTAATTGCATTTCATTCTTTCTCTAGTATTTTAGATTAAATTTCGGCCAAAACATCATGAGCATGGAGCAAATCGCTGTAAATTCACCAAGTCGTAATATTACGGGTGTCAACAACGACTGCTTAGAACACGTTTTCATGAATCTGGAGCTCACGGATCTACTGCATTTAGCCGACACATGCACGCAATTCAAGAAAAGTGTCGGCTATATATTTCAGCGAAAATATGGAGGGAAAGAAATAAGACTCGTTACGAGTCCCCTCTCGAAAAAATCACTAAAAATAGACGAATTGTCCATAACTATCTTCGATGTGCCAACTGCATTTGGACTGTTGCGCTGCTTTGGACATTTGATCTTGTCTTTGTGCATGGACACCTTTCCATCCTATAATAATCTATATAATCCGAAAATGTTTCATTACATAAATGAATATTGCTCTGATTCATTAACAACGATTCATTTCAGAAATATCGAAGAATGGATAATGGAAAACCCATTTTCAAAAGTGGAATGTATCACATTTTCGTCGTGTATTTTGGACAATCGCATAACTAATTTCAACAAGTGGTTTCCCCGTGTTCAAACATTAGAATTCTATGACAACAGGGGAGAATGCATTGAACATAATTTTCCAAATTTAGAAAAACTTGTGATTTCGAGCACTAAATGTCAAATAGCAAACATTTCACGGGCATTGACGTTGAATCCACAACTAAAATATTTTCACAGCTACAACCAATTGGACGCCAATTTCTTACAAGAATTCAGCGAAAACTTACAAAACATTCAAGATCTTTGTATTGATTTTTCATCGAAACCCATCGACACGTCAATAATTCACTTGAAGAACGTACAACGACTTAGTATCACTTGTTTTCAACCGATGCTGAAACTCCCATTTGCATTTGGTTCTGTGCAAAAGTGCCATTTAAAAGTGATTGATTCACCCGACTGGAATGATGTCATTCGATTTATTAACAGACATCCAACATTGACCGAATTTTCTATAACATCTTCAGCTGAAGGAGCCGATAAAACGGAACTATTTCAGGCATTATCCAAAATAGAGACCGTTGAGTTTCGTATCCATCAGTTTTCGATTGATGATGTTATAGCATGCACCAAAGCCGGTAAATCGCTCAGGTCATTCCGCCTTAAACTCGACAATAAATCTAAATGCTCTGTTCTAGAGAAATGTTTGGACAAGGAATGGAGTCTATCAATTGAAGGGGGCCAATATGTGAAATTGACGCGATAAAGTAGAACAACATCATCAATTTTGGTAAAGGTAGATGTTTACGCTAAATAGATACCTTCTGAAAATGTCCAATGCCAGATCTTTTTTTTTTTAGCGTTATGAGAAACAAGTACTCTCTTAACCTAAAACATACAAATAGAATGGTAAGCAAGAAATGTTAATTTTTTCTTCAAATAAACAAGAATTTCAATTCAAAAAAATATATTGTATTCATTATTTTGCACAACTATTTATTACCTGCCACTTGTGTGTGCCAGAGTGGCCCAAAAAAAAAGTATTTAATTCTCAACATTTCAGGCCGGTTTATCATGTTTGGGGCCTAAAACACGATAAGGACCATTACTTTGTTCAATTGGAAAATCCAGGCGCTCCAAATCCATTTGGTAAATTCTTCGACGGGCCATTTTGGTGACATTTGAAAGTCTTCTAAGTGCCTATTAATTTGGACTTGTAACACAATTTGAATTTAAGTTTGGCGCGGTTTCAGTATCTCAACGCAAAACACGTAACAAAACTTATTCACTATCCTAACGTACTTCTCCCTGCGAAGTGGAACAATATAGCTTCTTGCCTCAATGAGAGCACTTTTTCAATCGCTTCTTCTCTCGCTGCTGTCCTTCTTCTTAGAAAGAGCGCTCTCCTTAACAGATGCAAACGGATCGATGTTTTCTTCTCATATCTGCTCTTTCCTCGTGAGATTTGCTCAATGACCTTCTTCGGAATATTCTTTGAAAATGGATCCAATTTTGGAAATATCCCGTGAATAGACAAACTCGATTCAAAAATAATTTTAAAGCACATTTAATTTCATTTTTATTCGGAATGGGGGGAGATTGTAAAAGACCGATGTAAACAATTGAAATTCATTTGGAAAATTTGATAAAAAAAATCCAAATGAAATAGACCAAACCATAGAGGATAATAATAAACATATTGCTCTTTGAATCGACAAAAATATACATTTTTCATTTGATTTTGTTTATGTTTTTGGAATAGAAAATTGGGCTTATTTTCAGGAATTTGATATACCAACCATGGAGAGAAAAAAACATATCCTCGAATAAAGGTATGACAATGTTGTAAGTTTCCTCATATTTTTTGTGACGTTTTCCATTTAATTTTGTGAATAACAACTTGGCTTCGAATCATTTTTCTCATTAAGTTTTTACTCAGAACTGAACAACTGGTCATTTTTGTCATTTGTTTACAATGAACTCATTACCTGAATGTGAAATTCAAGTTGTAGGTTCATTGCGAGAGATGTCACTTTCAAAATTCATAATTAGCATGAATAATTTGTAATTAGGTAAGAAAATGGCGTGAACTAGCCTTGTACTAACTAATTACCTACAATAATCCTGCAGCGAGTACCAAGGTGGCAACACCAACATCTAATTAAGAACAAATTATGGTAGCCTTCAGAAATTTTGGGATATAAGCACTGCATTGAACAGAATTTAGTC